AGTAGCCGTGTGCAAGCGAAGAATTCGAGGACGCGGATTGGGAGGCTTTTTCCTTTTGGGGATCCGACGTCACACACCTGGGCGCTGCTTGCGGCACCGCAGCCACAGCTTAGGGGGCACGGCGGGTTCACTGAACAGAGTATGAGGGGCGTCGGCGCGGCTTTGCGTGCGGAGGAAGCCGATAGCGACGCCTGGGCCAATGGCATCCTTTAACTGTAACCACTAGCAGAAGTCCCCGGGGCTCCCCCAAGCCTTTTCATTGCCGCTACGCCACAAGGAAAACCCTTCGCGGTGGCTTCGACCTCTGCGGCGTCATTCTTGACCTCAGATCTCTTCTTATGTGTAATAGTGCCTGGTGCTGTAGCATTCTCTCCACCTTTTACGTATCAGATACTATCGTTTTATCGCTTCCTCAGAGTTTGAGCATCCTTTCAGGAATTACTGTCTTCAGAGCTAGGATTGGTTCACCGTCGAGATCCAGGGTCTGAGATTCGATATCCATCCCGAGCCGCATACCGGATAACCCACCAATCATGGACTGATATGGATTCGCATCGGAAGCTCTTCTCGAACAATCATGGCAGGAATAGGAGGGAAAGGCTGGTCCGACTTGGGAGGCGGACGAAGCCATGGGAGCCGACGCGGTCCTGCGTTTCTGACACGCACGGCCACGGACGAAGCCGCTCAATTACTACGACGATCATCCTTTCCGGCAACAACAGAGGAACATCGTCCACAGTCTGCTCACGAGAGCTCGAGACATCTTCCTTCTAGGCCTGGTACTGCCCGAACCTCTGAGCCGGACTCGTCCCTCAACCGACATGGCAGGGCCTCGTCTGAAGCCTATGGCACCTTTGACGGCTTTCAAGACACGCCGGACGCGAGCCGCGCGCAGGACCCTATAGTGACAGGCCTGTCCATATCAGCACATCCTGTGACTGTAAATCCCGCGAATGAGACCGGCAAGATCGAGACATCCGCCGTCAACAAGGGCAGCGCCTCGGCCCCCCAAGCTGGAGGCACAGAAAAACTGGGAACAATCTCTGGAGTATTTGTTCCCACCAGTCTCAATGTGCTGAGCATTCTGATGTTCATCCGATTCGGCTTCATCCTCGGTCAAAGCGGCGTGGTGGGTATGCTGATCATGCTCGTTGCTGCCTATGCCATCAACCTGATCACCACACTGTCTCTGTCTGCAGTCGCTTCCAACGGGATAGTCAGAGGCGGCGGTGCTTACTACCTGATTTCCAGATCTCTTGGTCCTGAGTTTGGCGGAGCAATCGGGTTGGTTTCGTATCTCGGCTTCGTCTTCAACACAGGAATGAACGCTGTAGGTCTCGTTGACTGTGTGACTTACAACTTTGGTCACGAGAGTGGCAACTGGGAAAACACGCTGCCTGAAGGGAAATGGTGGGCATACCTCTGGAGTACCTTGGTAGTCATACTCTGCGTCGTCATCTGTATGGCTGGGAGTTCCATCTTCGCTCGAGCAAGCAACGGCCTGCTTCTGATTCTACTGCTTGCAACCTTTAGCGTCCCACTGTCAGCAATTGTTCGGGAACCATTTGAAACCACCAAACAGTTTCTACAGTTCACGGGTTTCAGGTTTGACACGTTGAAGGAAAACCTGCTGCCTCATTTCACACGCGGAGCCGCTGGGAGTCAGTTGAAGGGCAAGGAAAACTATCAAGACCTCTTTGGCATCCTTTTCCCAGCCACGGGAGGTATTCTCGCGGGAGCGAGTATGTCTGGCGATCTGAAAAATCCTAGCTCATCCATTCCTCGGGGTACTCTGGCTGGGCTCGGCTTGACATTCGTTGCATATACCCTCGTTATCGTGGCTATGGGAGCAAGTATAACCAGAGAGTCTTTCTACAGGAATGTCAATGTGGTCCAGGACGCGAGCGTATCCGAGGTTCTCATCCTGGCTGGAGAGTTGTCCTCGACATTCTTTTCCGTCTTGATGGGTATCATTGGCCCGGCGAAACAGCTACAAGCCATTGCAAGAGACAAAGTTATACCCGGTCTGTCGATATTTGGGCAGGGTACAGCGAAGAATGACGAGCCGATCTACGCCATTCTTTGCACATTTGTCGTTACTCAACTCGTTCTCCTCCTGGACATCAACCAGATTGCCTCTCTCATTACCATGGCCTACCTCATGTAAGTCGCTTATCTACTGATGGGGAGCTGGCAATAACAACTCCCTAGGACATTCTTCGCCCTAAATGTGGCAACCTTCCTCCTGAAAATCGGATCGGCACCCAACTTTCGACCTTCATTCTCCTATTTTAACTGGTGGACTGCCGCCGCCGGTGCACTCCTCAGTATCGGCAGCATGTTCTTTGTCGACGGTATTTCGGCCTCGGGCTCCGTCTGCATCCTGCTTGTCTTGATCATACTCATACACTACACCACCCCGCCGAAACCATGGGGTTCAATCTCGGAAGTGCTCATCTACCACCAAGTTCGAAAGTATCTGCTAAGGCTGAAGACCGAGCATGTTAAATTCTGGCGACCACAGATTTTGCTATTGGTTAATGACCCCAGAAGGAGTTACAAGCTGATCCAGTTCTGCAACTCCCTCAAGAAAGGTGCCTTGTTCATCATCGGTCATGTCATTGTCACTCAGAACTTTGGAGATTCGGTGCCTGAAGCTCGCCGTCAGCAAGCAGCATGGAACAAGTTCATCGAGGTATCACGGATTAAGGCGTTCGTCAACGTGGCCATATCACCATCCATCGAATGGGGAGCAAGAAACATTTTTCTCTCTGCTGGCCTGGGCGGCATGCGCCCTAATATCGTTGTTTTCGGCTTCTACAACCTGCAGCAGTTCCGGTCAGAGCAGCCGCTAGTCGATATACCCAGTCCCCCGCCAGAGAGAAAGGCAGGATCGATTCGAAAGCGACTAAGAAGCCGGAGCCAGGTACAAGGAGAGCTGCCCACTGATACCTGTTACATCGAGAAACGCACAGATATTCAGAGCTACGTCATGGTTTTGGAGGACATGATCCTCAAGCTCAGAACCAACGTTGCCATTGCCATCGGTTTCGCGGACCTGGAGCTACCAAAGACGAAGGATGGCACAAAGAAATACATCGACCTCTGGCCTATCCAGATGTCGGCGGATCTTACCTCGGAGTCGGACGGCGAGCCACGGAATGTCACAACCACCAACTTCGACACTTACACGCTGATTTTACAGCTAGGATGCATTCTCAACACCGTGCCGTCATGGAAGCGGTCGTACAGACTTCGAGTTGGCGTCTTCGTCGAGTATGAGAGCGACGTCGAGGAGGAGCGATCTCGAGTACGTTCCCTGCTGGAAAATCTTCGTATCAAGGCAGAGGTCATGGTATTCTGGTTTGCCTGTGGCACCCTCAAATCCTATAACTACATCGTCAATGGGGAAGCTGTGGACGAGGAAACTCAGGACAATGTCAACAAGGTCCTAGAAGACGAGGTATGGTGGCAAGAACTCCTCAGGCTTCGGGGTAAAACACGCTCCGGCGACGTCGGTGCTATTGATGCTCTCTCACTTACAGACGATGTTGCCTGGCCAAGCTCATCTTTCCCAGGCAGAAAAGAGAGTGCAATCGTGCGACTCGATGGACTGCGTCGGATCTTGACGCACCCGAGGAAGAGGTCATCTTATGGCAACTTATCAAGTCTAGGCGTCAGCCTTTCTATGAGAACTTCACGCATAGACGACGACATGCTCAGCCGGCATGCATCTCATCCAAGCGACTCGGAACATTCTGATACTGACGACATGGACGGGACCACAGACGACAACGATGAGGAAGACGACGACGAGGATCAAGACCAGTCAGAGGGCAGCCCGTCAAGTAGGATACGTGAGTCCTCATCCAAGAAGAGTAGCAGGGCGAGCTCCAAAAAATCGAGCCGCAAGAGCAAGAAAAGCTCTAGCAGGGGAAAATCAACCTCACCTAGACCGCAACTCCAATTCGAGGAGGATATATTGCATGCAAGGCACGGAGAACAAAGCCGAGGACGGAGTCGGGCGCTTTCGGACCCTGCTGCTTCATCTCCTAGGCAAAGCCTAGACGTTGCTGCTTCGTCCCACGCATCTCGAGCAGTATCGTCCAACTTCACGTCGGAGCCAGTGCCACCTACAAAAGTGAATGTTGAAGAAGAGGCTGGTCCTTCGATTATGTTTGCCGATGATCCACATCCACGGCGGCAGGAAACAGACGAGGATGTCCCAGCGGCAAGACCATCCATCTACCAAAGGGCACGGGACGACAGTACCAATCCTCAACCCTCAGCGCAAGGCTTCCCTACAGCTGCGTCGATACCGCTATCATTCAACGATCTTCCAAGTCGAGCACAACATCTGATCCTGAACGAGATCATTTCCCAGAACAGTGATGATACGGCAGTCATCTTCACCACACTGCCGGCACCATTTGAAGGAACATACCGCAGCGAAACGGACAGTCTTGGGTATATTAGCGACTTGGAAGTCTTGGCTGGTGGACTGCCACCGACATTGCTGGTGCATAGTAACAGCATGACTGTTACCACGAACTTATGAGAGATTAGAGCGTCATGATACCCGCTACACTTGGCTTAGAACGACTTCTTCCGATTGCTCATCCTGATGAAGGGATGTACATATAAATACAACTCAATCCATAATGATCAGCACCCCTTGTCGTAGTCTCATGGTACGGAGACGCACTCTGCTGTCCACTCAGAGGAATGTAAGCTCTCCGACGCCACTCACGGGGCCCTCAATCCTCCTTTCCTATCAAACGTGGAAGGAAGCGGCCCGCGCCAAGTGGTCGTGGAAGTCATCCGAGTCTAGTTCAGAGACGGCAACAGATAGCCGTTGTCCAGGCCCCAAAACCACCACTTTTCGACTGTGGGGACATTGCTTGACGAGCTAGCTTAGGCTGAGCATTGTGTACGCCCAATGGCCCACGTCCTCTTGCGTATAGCATAAGACTGTGGTAGACAAACAGACAGACATCAACCTAGAACCTTTCCACCCTGTTGAGCTTCCGTGCCGTCTTGATTTGGCTCCTAGTGTTCTGTCCTCTGACGGGCAAGTTCATTGCGTGCCTTCTGCCTCTATACGTGCCCGTATCCCTCAGCCTGGTGATATCCTGCTGCATTTTCCGTCGCAGGTGGTTTTCAATTGGCATGGAGTCGAGGTGCGCGGTTAGGTCGAGGACTTGGGTTTGGGTCAATTCGCCAACTTTGATGGTATTGTGGAGATGGAAGCGCGACATTATTTTGGCGCGGGTTGCAGAGCCAATGCCGAAGAAGGTTTCGAGGGAGCGCTGTAAAGTCAGTTAACAAGCCTGCGCTGGTCGATGCAAGAGAGGGGGCAGTAGAGAATGCATACCCATACAAAACGGTGCTCGGGGAAGTTGACCCCCAGGATGAACACCTATTAAAGTTGCATCAGCATCATATGAACTCGCCGGCAACTCGTGGAGCATGCTCACCATGATGCCACCTCCTCCGCCGCTTCTGATGAGTATTGTGGTGGCTGCTTTGTTCGATGCGCAAGAGACTGGTGTGAATTCCTGGCGTGTCGGAGACAGTCAAGCACACAGCCTTGCCGCTAGTTACGCCAGCCTCGTGGCACCTTGGAGCTGAAGGATTCACCGTACTGCCCTGAGTGGTCAAAGTGGCTGCAATGTCTCCCTCAGCGCCCCGTTCCGACTATCGTTTGACCTCCTCCCTCAAACCATCCGTTACATCGCTACAAGCTCGACAAAATCAGATCGATGTGGCTCGGGATGGCTAACGTCCAGCGAATTATCATCTCGCTGATGGTCCTTTTGACCGCGACCTTCTTGTTCATGGGTCAGACTGCTCAAGCTGCAAAGGGCCCCAAGATCACTCACAAGGTCTACTTCGACATTGAACACGACGGCCAGCCTCTGGGGCGAATCGTCATGGGTCTCTACGGCAAGACCGTACCAAAGGTACGCTGAGTTGGCTCTTTCGGCCTCGAGATTCTTGCTAAAGCAACTTGCTCCTCAGACCGCAGAGAACTTCCGGGCACTGGCTACAGGCGAGAAGGGCTTTGGCTACGAAGGCTCGACGTTCCACCGAGTCATCAAGCAGTTCATGATCCAGGGCGGTGATTTCACAAAAGGAGATGGCACAGGTGGAAAGTCGATCTATGGGAACAAGTTTGAGGACGAGAACTTCAAGTTGAAGCACACTAAGAAGGGCTTGCTGAGCATGGCCAATGCAGGAAAGGACACCAATGGGTCGCAATTCTTCATCACTACAGTGGTTACAAGGTATGTCCTCGGAGCTCGCTCGTGACAAAGCGTACCCACTCACGAACCACAGCTGGCTGGATGGCCGCCACGTCGTTTTCGGCGAAGTGCTCGAGGGCTACGACGTCGTGGAGCAGATTGAGAATGTTCCAAAGGGATCAGGCGACCGTCCAGCCAAACCGGTCAAAATCGCAAAGAGCGGAGAACTTGAAGTCCCGCCTGAAGGTATCCACAACGAATTGTAGGATTTGAGGGCGGGTACTGCTCTCGGATTACTACCCCTTTGAATGGTCGCTGAGACCCCCTTTGCAGAACCACCGGTGTATTCCACTTTGCACCCTGAATACGTGGATGACGATGATAACGACGAGAAGATCGACACGGAAGCGCCCTCGCCGGAGAACGAGGTTGAGACTCCAGCCAAGGATGTGCCAGCTGCGGGGGAGGTTTCTGCTCCGGCAGAGGCTTTGATCACCCAAGCCTACATGCAGAAGGCCGTCTTCTTCCTTTTGATCATGGCCGTCGTCTTCTATCTAGTTCGAAGACGGCGAGCGGCCTATCAGAAGGTGGATGAGAAAAGCATGGCATAGATAGACCAAGGAGAAACAAAGACAAAAGCCATGTTAGTTGAAAAGGTCCGAAGGGTGTGCCGTCAATGCGTGTAAAAAGCCTCCTGTTCCTCGCCGAATGCACGCAACGGCAGCCCGTCGCTTTGCCACCGATCTCACGCTTCTGCATCACTAAGCCTTGCCCCTATCGTGGCAAAACGGGTCCTCTTGGCGGCGTAGAACGGCCTAGCCTATCAGCGAATCTGCAGGTTGCCGCTGGCTCCCTAGAGAAATTTTAACTCTTTCGTAACAGGCTGCGCTTTCAACTTTTCATCTTCAAAACCTCAAACCACTTCATCAAACATCCTCCCTCATCCACAACTCCTCGACTGACAATCCTACCGTCCTTTCATTGTGCCTTTCGTTTTCACTTTCGGATAGACTTGGAGAGGCGTTCTTTGTCTCTCATTCTATCTGCCGGACACGAAAGATCCTGCAGTTCGTCAGAATTTCAAGATTCAACGCTTCACTCGCAGCCTCAATTTCACACTCACACTAAGATCACTCAACACAACAGCCTGTGAGTCCTCCTTCACGTCTTCCATTCCTCGATCTGGCCCATCTTGATCTGTGTACAATCCTCGCGCGATTCGGAGGGTTTTCTGGAATCTTCTTCAGGAAACCTCGCTCTGGAAATCCTCCATCGGCATTATACCACCTGGAGACAGGCTGACCTGATTCTTCGCAGATTTCACAACCGAATCAATTGCTAAACATGGCTGATTCTCTGAACATGAACGGTCTCTCTCTCAATGAATCTCGACACGCTCCAGGCGGTCGAGCTGCCTACATCCCCCCTCACCTCCGCGGCTCATCCGCTCGCGGTCCTCCCCCAATGATGGGCTTGGACGGCGCTGGTCCTGGCCCTGGGCCGATGGCAGCTCAAGGTCTGAATGGCAGTGCTTGGGCCAACAACACGTACGTTGAACAACATTCTGGTCATTCCGAATGTACACTGACAAATCTCAGCCAAAACAACGGAAGCTGGGCGGCTGCTCCTGACTTCAAGCCCGGCCCTGGTGGTCCCGCTCCTGGTCCTACGGGTCCTGCTCCTCAGTCTAACGGCTGGGGTGCCGGTCACAATCCTCGTCCTTTCAATCCCAACGCTTATGGCGCTCCCGGTGGTGGTCACGGCGGCGGTCACGGCGGCGGATATGGTGGTAGCTACGGTGGTGGCGGCGGCGGTTCCGCTCGAGGTTCAGGAGAAGGTCAGTGGAGAGATGGTCAACACATTGCTGGTCCACCAAACCCGAAGGTCGAGCGTGAGCTATTTGGCGTGCCCAATGACCCGACCAAGCAGACCACTGGCATCAACTTCGCCAACTATGACGACATTCCTGTCGAAGCCAGCGGCCACGACGTCCCTGAACCAGTCAACTCCTTCACAAACCCTCCTCTCGATGATCATCTGCTCGGCAATATCAAACTCTCTCGCTACACCACCCCCACACCTGTACAGAAGTACTCGATCCCCATCGTCATGGGCGGACGAGATCTCATGGCCTGTGCTCAGACTGGTTCTGGCAAGACTGGTGGTTTCTTGTTCCCAATCCTCTCACAGGCCTTCCAAAATGGTCCTTCTGCCAATCCAGCAAGTGGAGGTGGTTTTCGCCAACGCAAGGCTTTCCCGACTTCTCTGATCCTTGCTCCCACCCGCGAGTTGGTCTCCCAAATCTACGATGAAGCTCGAAAATTCTCGTACCGCTCTTGGGTGCGACCATGTGTGGTCTATGGTGGCGCCGACATTGGCACTCAGCTCCGCTCTATCGAACGTGGCTGCGATTTGCTTGTTGCTACCCCTGGCCGTCTTGTCGACCTCATAGAACGAGGTCGTATTTCGTTGGCCAACATCAAGTACTTGGTTCTTGACGAGGCCGATCGTATGCTTGACATGGGTTTCGAGCCACAGATCCGCCGCATTGTCGAGGGTGAAGACATGCCCACCGTGCAGAACCGCCAGACCCTCATGTTCTCAGCAACCTTCCCCCGCGACATTCAGATGTTGGCGAGAGACTTCCTCAAGGACTACGTCTTCTTGTCTGTCGGTCGTGTCGGCTCGACATCCGAGAACATCACCCAGAAGGTCGAATATGTCGAAGATCAAGACAAGCGCTCCATCTTGCTCGATATCCTTCACACCCACAAAGCCGGTCTGACTCTGATCTTCGTGGAGACCAAGCGTATGGCCGATACCTTGTCCGACTACCTCATCAATCAAGGTTTCCCAGCTACGGCAATCCATGGTGATAGAACCCAGCGCGAGCGTGAGCGAGCTCTCGAGTTCTTCCGCAATGGAAGATGCCCCATCATGGTTGCCACTGCTGTTGCGGCTCGTGAGTGCTCCCCACTTTTCTTACATTCTCCTTCCTTCCCAATCCGCTTCCCATAGATGTCGTTTGGCATGCTCGTTGCTATGCAATATTTGCTAACTTTTATTTCAGGTGGCTTGGACATTCCAAACGTCATGCACGTTGTCAATTACGATCTCCCAACTGATATTGATGACTATGTCCACCGCATTGGTCGTACTGGTCGTGCTGGCAACACCGGACTGTCGACTGCGTTCTTCAACCGCGGCAACCGAGGCATTGTTAGGGACTTGATTGAGCTTCTCAAAGAGGCCAACCAGGAGGTCCCCGGCTTCCTGGAGAACATTGCTCGTGAGAGCTCTGGCTTCGGAGGCGGCCGCGGAGGACGTGGCCGTGGCGGCGGCGGTCGTGGTTCTTCTGCTACTCGTGACATGCGTCGCATGGGCGGCGGTGCTGGCGGAGCAGGCGGTCCTCCTTCTTACGGCGGCGGATATGGTGGTGGCAGTGGCTACGGCGGCGGCGGCGGCGGCGGTAAGTCTCCTTCGGCTTCCATTTGCTCAAAACATTCACTGACAGAGGCAGGCTATGGTGGTGGGGCTCCGTATGGAGGTGGGGCCTATGGCGGCGGAGGATATGGCAACCCCGGTGGTGCCAGCGGTCCATCCTCCTGGTGGTAAACGGTCAAGGGCGTTTGCCCGTGGAACGACATTGCCTTCCCTTCTCAACTCGGTTTTTCCTTTCTACTTCGACACTTGCACTCTTGAAGGGCGACCAGGCGTCGTGAAGCATGAGCAGGCTCTGACTCGACACGAGCTTGCTTCTTCGATCATGGCGACGCAAAGGTCACTTTTCGAGCAACTGTTTTTATCGGGCACAGCATGATACACTGATAGATAGCGTTGGCTTTTTCCGATCGATTTCCAGATACCCCTCAGCATGTCGAAACTTCCTCATGTGAACAGAGGAAAACAGACGATGTGTGCGACAGACAGCAGACTCACAACACGGCGTCGGTTTGAAACGAAAGAGAGTGGCGACGGCGCACAAACAAACTTGCAGCAATGAACGACGAGACTCGACGACGGCCCTCGAAAGGGCTTCCAGGCTGGGAGGCTTCCTTTTCGGCCACGGTCGAGCTTCGTTCTCCGACGACGGAAAAGCACCAAAAGTTATTGCAGGTTTCTTCTCTCTTTCGCCATCCTGTGGGACATGAATCAAATAGACTTCTTCGACATGTGGACATGACACGAATGATCAATCACGAGCTTTTTACGAGAGGTCCATGGGACAACAGGAAATGACGGGGATCATATGGATGGAGCTTTCTACCCCGGGCCAGGGCAGAAAGATAATCGGTACAGACCATCTGTGCATCTTCCCGGGGTTTCTGGCCCAAGGGCCTCTTCCACGCTCCAAGGCTTGTGCTTGACGACGAGCATACTTTACGAGACCCAGAGGGAAAGGTCTTCGCTGGCGCATTAGAATCAGGCTTGCCAGGCCGCAATTGCACCATTAGCTTCAGAGTCAATGAAAAGTTATTCATGACAAATTGTATTCCGTTCTAACCAAGATGCTGGTCTTGGCCGTGTCCCGGTCTAATACTCAAAAGTAGAACATGCGCCAGTGTTTCCTCGATCGTCGTGACGTTGCCGTAGATTCGTCCGCACCTCCGCCGCAGCCAGACTTACTCCACCGTCGCATAGTCACTGCCGTGCCTCGCAAGAGCCGTTCTTGGCCGTGTCAGCGCTGTTCGGCGTCTGATCTTATCTCCTGAGACTCTCTTCGCAGGCATCGACATGGTCCGAGAACGAGCGGGATGCCGAAGCCGACGATGAACGTGTCGATGTCGAGACGGGCGACAGACAACTGGAGCGTTGACCACCGTCTGGATGGCCCAGTCAAGACCGGACACCTGCCAGAAGCAGGCCCTGCATCTGTTCCAATAGACAACAGCCGAATCTCAGACGCAACTGTGAATCCGGCTCAGCTAGGGGAAAGAGGGGCTCCGCCACCACCTGCTTCTTTGCTCAAACTCTCTCTGCCTGAATCGCGGACGGAAGAGCTGGAGTTTAGCCATGGAGATAACTCATTGCCTTCGCATGCCCTCATCCAGTAGCTGCTCCTATCTCCACTTTGCTTTCTGGCATGATGGGTACTCGTACGAGTACGAGTACTCGCACGATCACTCGTATTGGGTCCCATATGCTCCTCCCGCGCACGAAGCACGGCGTCAACAGATACATAAACGGCCACCTCATTGGCGGTTTTGGCTCGTCACTTCGTCACTGAAGCTTGAGCTCCAAAGCTTCTATCTTGGTAGGGAGTCGTATATCAACCGGTCTTCCTTGTCCTTGTTCCCTGTGACATTTGTGTTGCCCGCACCTTGCCTTTACATTTCGCTCTTCGTCGTCTCCCGCTCCTCGAGCCCAGCAGCAGCAGCAGCAAACATGAGTAGTATCTTCGCTCCCGCGCCCGAGCCGCCCACCGAGCTGGGTCGGTATCGGATCCTCTCCAGCACCGCTGGCGTCAGAGTGTCGCCATTGTGCCTAGGCGCCATGTCTATCGGCGATGCTTGGTCCGACGTGAGTCTTTGCGTTTGCGACCTTGAGTTTTTTTGCTGAGAAGGGACGAACCCTTCAAAGCTCGTCTCCTCTTCGATTCTGGGCAACTGGCTGATCAATTCCTCTCGGCGTACGGAGTAGTTCATGGGAAGCATGAACAAGGAGCAATCGTTCAAACTGTTGGACGCCTTCTACGACGCTGGTGGCAACTTTATCGATACCGCGGTACGTCTGCTGCCCACTCTTCCTTGGACAGGACCTCCTTGGGCGATCGAAACGATGCGTGGGACGCTTCCAAATGCGAAACTTCCCCAGCAGTGCTGACTCCTCCCCCGTAGAACAACTACCAAAACGAACAGTCCGAGAAGTGGATCGGCGAATGGATCAAGGAACGAAAGAACCGAGACCTGGTTGTCATTGCCACGAAGTACGTCTTTGTTCCTACCCCTTCCCTCCTAGCGCCACGAAGCGGCATCATGTTTCTTCCCCGTGCGATCGCCAGACTAACACCGGGGTTTTTTTTTCCGATTCATATCAGGTTCACCACGGGCTACCGCAGCTGGGAGCTCGGCAAAGGAAAGTCTGTGAATTACTCCGGGAATCACAAGAAGAGCTTGCACCTCTCGGTCAGGGACTCCCTGCAGAAGCTCCAGACCGACTACATCGATCTCTTGTACGTGCACTGGTGGGTAAGTAGACGGCACAAAAATTGTCCCTCCTTGAATGGCTTCGAATTCCTTGAGGCTGGCGCGGACCGGCTGACACGGGATCACGTTTTTCAAAGGACTGGACGACGTCGATCGAAGAGGTCATGGACAGCCTGCACATGCTGGTCGAGCAAGGCAAGGTCCTGTACCTGGGCATCTCGGACACACCGGCTTGGATCGTGTCGGCGGCCAACACGTACGCCCGGTCTCACGGCAAGACGCCCTTCAGCGTGTACCAGGGCCGTTGGAATGTCATGACCAGGGACTTTGAACGGGACATCATCCCCATGGCGCGACACTTTGGCATGGCGCTCGCGCCGTGGGACGTCATCGGCGGCGGCAAATTCCAGAGCAAGAAGCAGATCGAGGAGCGCAAGAGGGCCGGCGAGGGTCTGCGCCGTATGATGGGCGACCCCGACCAGACGCCGCAACAGGAGAAAGTCTCGGCCGCGCTGGAAAAGGTGGCCGGCGAGCACGGCATCGAGTCGCTCTCGACCATCGCCCTGGCGTACGTGCTCCAGAAGACGCCGCGCGTGTTCCCCATCATCGGCGGGCGCAAGGTCGAGCACCTCCACGACAACATCAAGGCCCTGTCGATCAAGTTGACCGACGAGCAGATCCAGTACCTGGAGAGCCAGACCGAGTTCGACGTCGGCTTCCCCTCAAACTTTGTCGGCGAGTCGCCCGAGGCCACGGGCAAGAGTTCGTGGATCGTGGCTGGCACCGCCCAGATTACCTATCCCACGCCGGTAAAGGCCGTGGGACACTGAGGAGGGAAACCCGAAGGAGTGAGGACGTCAGATCCATGAGAAAGGGCAGGCCGTGAAGATCCAGCGAAAGACGACAAAGATACAAAGTCGACTGACTCATGGAAGGTGCAAAGAATCTAAGATAAGATGGCGTGGGCAATCCGTTTCTTGCCTTGTGTCACGTATATTCTCTGTGTATGTGCCAAAACCTTCGGCTCCTGGACTCAATCCGCCTGTGGACCTATATTCATTCTCTCGTGCTCCTGGTTGATAGTGATACTTGGGTGATCTCCGCTGCAGCGACTGTCTTTCTCCTCTGCCGTCCTAACACAGTCCGGCTAGACTGCGATATAAATTTCACTTCTATTGCGTTTGCCACTGCCCGCAGAGTCACTGAACCAGTATCCACAAGCAATTAGTAATGTCAATGATCAATATATATAGATCAAGTACAACCTCGTTGCAGAGGCATGTTTTCCCATGTTCGACAGTTATGCCATGGAGCCCTCGTTTGCAAGCATTTCACTCATCATCAACCTTGAACGCCACTTGGATCTCAAGTTGAACCTCGCTCAAATCTGACTTTGCTCCCACCGTCGGTCAGCGATGGGCTGCATTACGACGCTCTTACCCTCATATTCGCTTTGACCCGCTCGAGGAGCTCCGCCCTCGTCAACTTCGATTCGGCCGTGAGATTGCGCTGCGCACATGGTTAACATTGTCTGTGTCTTGGTTGATCCGTCCCGTCGCATCTGCTTTGCATCTTGATCACTGTCTGAGAACGTAACCGGCTGTCCAAACCCCGACCGATCGAAGAAGATGGGCGGACAGGCAGCCAGCTACGCCCGCAAACACGCACGCGAGCGGGAATCGGACGAACAAACAAACACATGAACTCACAAGCTTCAACCACCTCCGCAGCTCGGTCTCGGTCCAGGACTCTGGATCTATGGAGAGGTGTGAGTTCAGTCTCGAAGCAACGATATAGTATGTAGCCACATAGCCAGCTGGTCAGCCAGGGATGTGGGCAGGAAGAAGGGAAGTGTAGGGAGATGGCGTAACGTACTGCCGGTGGGATCCTTCTCTGGGGGAAACATCTCCCCAGACCAGAGATTCCAAAGCGACGCGACGGTTACGAGGCCGGCGAACCCTAGGAAGGGGTAAAACAGGTCAGTGTCGAGGGTTGGCATTGTGCTTGTGGTGCTTGGGACGTGGTAGCTGGTTGATCTCGGGACCCCTAGGAGGATACGGAATGGTGGAGGGGAATAGTCTGGCTAATATAAGGTCTACTATGCGGTTTGAGATGAAGATGCAAGATTGTATGATCTGATCCGGTCCGGTCCAGTCGCATCACATCCCCTCTCATCCCAGCGCGCACGGAGTGGAGGAATAGGAAAATAGACCAGGAGCAGGGAGGACAAACCGAAGAAGAGGTTCTAGACACCAGCCATCAAGTTAGTCAAAATGCTCGAGATCACTCCGTCATGTGGCGGGAAGCGAGAAGTCAACCCGTGTAGTGTAGTATAGAGTAATGGTTTGAAGACAAGACAGACGGCGGTATAACAGTGAAGGCAATGTGGATGAACAAGCGACGCGACGTACACGAGATTGCATGGCTCGATCCAGCGGAGTCGGCATATTGGATGCGATTCAGTCTCAAGTTCCAGGTTCCAGGACTCGTGGGGCTGGTTGCTGTACGGGCAGTGACTAAGGTACTTGGTATGAGCAGGCTGTGAGCGATACACACTGGTGGCTTCAGATGATAGATATGTCGAGGGAGAAAACGGCGTTGGAGAAGAGGACAGATATAGAAATAGCACGCCGCACTCGGTATGAGTGATGCCTTGTCAACGGGAAAGTGAGAGGAAGGTGAATGGCAGGTGAATGGCAGGTGACAGCACCACGCAGCACCAACTGAAGGGAGCCTGAGGTTTGGGGGAATGACGTTTCACGCACCCCGTCTGATTGGCCATTTAGGTTGCATAAGCGACGGTACTAGCTCATTCGGGCGTGTTCAGCCAGCGTACTCCGTTCTGTACCACCACATACTCTCTGCCTGCCAGGAGCTATTCCGATTTGCTGTGTCGTTGAGAACACATCAACTCGGCTCTACCCTTCGATCTACCATTCCATGCGGTCGTCACAGACAAGTCTAACGTCGTATCTCTCCCTCCCCTTCCACACCTTCCCGCCAGAATTGCAGCCCGCAACAATCCTTCGCAGATCCGAAACCATCTCGCCCGGCCCACTAGCATAAACGATGGTAGGGCCACGGATCGTCGTATCAAGAAATTCCTGAGTGATACTGGTGAGATCTGGGCGGCGATTGTGGGGCTCAGGATTGGGTAGGGCCGGGTGATGGATCGATAAGGTATCGACACACATGGCCTCTTTGTCCTTCTTTACCTGGTGGGAGGACGCCGACGAGACAGAAGCCGAGGACACTTGTATTCTGTCGTCTTGAAGCCTTCCATCCGTTCCCTCAACCTGCTCGAGGTCGGGGGTTCCAGGATCCGCGTGGCAGATCCTCGTGACAAAGATACGAATCTTCATATCATGCAACATTGCCGACCGGCGCAGTTGATCAAGCTCTTGCCTCACCCAGGAGAGATCGGCGTCCCTCCGAACAGCCCACACGAGCTCCAATTTGCGGTCGGGGACTGGGCGCTGGGCGATTAAGCCGAGAAGCACGGGCAGAACAAAGGTTACGCCCGTGCCCCCAGCAATGCAGAGGACATTCGTATTCGGCGTCAAGTGGTCCCTGATTGACCGACCGTATGGCCCAGTGAGGAGGACCGAGGTCGTCGCGGCCGAAGTGGCAGCTACCTTGCTGTCGTGGGCGGAAGCGATAGTCTTTGCTGCTGCCAGTTCTGCCACGGCTCTCGTCGCCCCATTCTTCGCGCGCAAGACGTACGAATGAACTGAACCCTGGGGTTCGGTTCCTGGCAGGCTGCAAGGACTAAATGGATGCGATTGCCAGATAGAGATCTTGGGGAAGCAGAGATAGAAATGTTGGCCGACTTCCCAGGGCCCGCTAGGGTGTACAAAGTCCAAGCGGACCAAGTCCCCATTGGCAGGGTCTGGAAATCGTGTCATCGTGGCGTTTGCCGCTTGGAAGCCCATCCCGCCGTTGGGGAGGTAGTTGTAATGTAGCAGTGCCGTCCTGGCTAGACGTGCTCCACGGTCGATGAACCATACTACCAGGGACGGAATGAGGTAGCAATTCAGCTTGGACCAGTGGCCCCAACAGGCGCCGATGTACAGCATCGCCATCACGTAGTGACATTTCCTGAAGAAGTCGTATCCCGTCCGGCGGATCGCCCACGGTGTGCTCAACACGAACAGCACGGTCAGGAAGAACATTGCGAGCACTCCCCATATCATGTATTTCTGTTGGATCCATTCGAGCCCCACTGTGGGCTGAGGCTGATACAATCTCATCTCGACGACACACCATCCGATCGTGTGCAGCGCCGACTGGATGAAGATGATGTAGCCGAGCCAGCGGTGCAAGACGTTGAAGCTCTGATATGGCACGCCCGTGATAATTGAGAGCAATGACTCGCGACTCGACAGCAATACCGACAATGGCGTCAGGGCATACGCCAGGACTCCAACCCGGTCCGACCACGGGCCCAGGCTGGTACGAGTATTGTTTACCCCTGGCATATTCTTGACGGGAGTCACCCATGTGTGGTATTCAATCCCCACGAATGAGAAGACGGTCAGATACCCCGTCAATGTGAGCAGGACCAGCACTTGGAGACGAGTCGTCCGGCCGAAGATTGCTTGGAGGGATTCTGGAAGCAAGTATTGACGGCTCAGGGCTGCAAGGGAATCTTTCAGGCGGTGGATGTGGTGCTTGTTGTCGGCTCCCTGGCTCTCCGCGATCAGAAGCCGGCTCTGGTCTTGATCGACCGGTGGAAAGAGACGCCTGCCAAGTGTCCAGATGAGGAGGGTGCCTCCGATCGTCGCCCAGATGATCCCGCAATATAACATACCCAGGTCGTGGCTGTGATAGACGACGTCCAAGTACTCGCACGAGCCTGGGTCATTGGTGCACGGAAGTGCTCGATCCGCATATCCCCAGTGAGGCTGGAGGGACTTGGCCTCGCTCATATTCTGGATGTGCCGAGAGAGCAGCATGTTGGAGTCCGAAGCCATGTAGGACACAGCCTCAGGGCACAGCTGAACGAGTCTGGTGTGCCTGCTGCAGCGCCGAAATGCAGAAGATGGCTATCGCATATATCATCGGAGTGCCTGCTTGGTGAGCCCCATACCGTGGACAATGATTTTTCCCATCTGAGGGACTTGATCCACCAGCCTCGATTCCTTTGGTCATCATATTGTCCGGTTCGAGCATGGATCGACAAACAACAGCCGAACTTATTCGAAATCGACAGGGTGGAAGCTGGTATAGTCGAGACCCCCACAACGAACGACGCTTCAGCGGTCGGTAGCACAAGAGCATCGCGGTGATGCATGCTAGCACACCGAGCAATGCCACGCATACAGTTTGCGCAAGTTTGCCAAGTCCATTGCGCAGATTCTCTGGTGTGGTGAGCAAGTTTTTGTATTTGCAGCTTCTGCAACCGACATCTTGGCGACCTTTACCCACAAAGCGGTAGTTTGCTCTCCATTTATTATCGTTCATTCCCTATTGTCGGTAGAGGTGCCATTGGCCGATCCTCTGGCCTTTGCCTCCGCTACGAGCCACCTACCGGGCTTGCTACTCGTACAAATGATAATGTAGGTAGATATATGCGAGGATGTTGCTCCTGGTGTAGGTACCCCTAGACCTCCTTGGACTTTGAAAACCATTGCAACCAGAAATCATCTCGATCAGAATGGATCACTCAAGTATGACAAGTATGACCATGTCAATGGCGTCCACTACCGCTGCAGCACCGGCGGCCACATCCTCCGCCATGAGCATGAAGGGTATGGGTATGGGAGACTCTTGCAAGATCTCGGTACGATCCTGTGATGGCAACAGTGTTGGCTGTGCTAATCAATCGAGCAGATGCTGTGGAACTGGTACACGATCGATACCTGTCTGTCTCATGCTCGCTGAAGCCAAGACGTGTTCATTGACGCGGTTACAGGCTTCCTCGCCCAAAGTTGGCACGTCCGTTCCCAAGGAGCATTTGCTGCTTCTTGCGTAGGGGTTGCTCTTCTCGCTGTCAGCATCGAGTTCATGCGGCGAGTCGGGAAGGAGTATGACACCGCCATCCTCGCTCAATTCCAGCGCCGCGTGGCCGCGCGTGCAGCCGATCTCAAGACGACCAACAGCTCTGAGGGCTGCGGCTCGGAGCCTCAATTCGTCATCTTTCGCGCCACACCTCTCCAGCAGCTCGTCAGGGCAGTTATTCATGCCGTCACGTTCGGAGTTGCATACATCGTCATGTTGCTTGGTGAGTTGAGGCCCTTGGCTGTCACACAACCGCTGACCAGCCTCGTCGTCCAGCAATGTACTACAATGGATACATCATCATCAGCATATTTATTGGGGCCGGGCTGGGCAAATTCCTCTGCGACTGGATGGTGCAGAGGGTGCCGGTTGGCGGGATGTTGGCAGCGTCGACTGGTCGGGGTATCGAGGAGCCAACTGTTTGCTGTGGATGAAACAAATCTGTCATCTCCCATGCGCCATTGTGCTGGAAGGCTGGCACATAAGACGGAAGCTGAACGGTTGGCATGGGCGTATGCTCGGCAAGGAGTCCGCGTGCGCTCACCAAGAACACTGTATCCCACGGCGAAGTCTGCATAAAGGGGTATCATATTGTATCGTCGTGACCATCGTGAGACAAAGGTCCCATAAATCTGTACAAGATCATCGAAAAGACGATCCAATAAGCCCGAGGGCGTACGAAAATAACCCTCAATCAAGCCGCGGTCGCAGCAACGCCTTCGCTGCGGACGCAAAACTCAACAATCAGTTTCTGCAAATCGGCCAACTTATAGGGCTTCGTCATGAACCCTTCCATGCCTGTTTTGGTTGCTCGAGCGATGGCCTCATCTGTGACATCGGCGCTGACAGCCAGCACAATGGGAGGGGCCACGTGACTGCAGTCCGACGCATCCGCATCTGGAGGTTGCTGGAACATTTCCAATATGTTCTGCGTGGCTTGGTACCCGTCCATCTCGGGCATCCACAGGTCCATCAGTATGACGTCCACTTTCCTAGCAGGCCGTTGCCCTTTCGACTTGGCGCAATCCCTTTCCATCGTATGCAGTTCGCGCATGATCCTCACGGCCTCCCTGCCGTCGAATGCCTCATGAATATCCTTGTACCCTAGTTTCCCAAGCATGTTGACGAGTAGCTTTCTGTTGATTTTATTGTCTTCGGCAACCAAGAATGTGAGAGGATGTTTTTGTGCAAGGAAGCGATCGATCGTGTCTCTTTTGAAAGGACTGGTCAGTGCCGGCGTGCGGGGTCCGGGAGTAGGGTGTTCCTCAATAGAGGGCATATGTATCTGCGATGGGCGGGGGTTCCTCATCGAGCTGGGTGACGATTCCGGTACTGTCAACGAGGTGGCTGGCTGAGAAATGCTCTTCGGGACTTCGGGGGTTCGGCTGCAAGGGGTAGCAGACCGGCTGTTATTACCCTCGCTAGGTTCGAAGGGTACTTTGATCTCAAATTCAGACCCTTTGTTCGGACCCGCAACCTCAGATGCCACGAGAATAATGTCACCGCCGAGTCGCCGTGCTAAACCCTTGGCGACCAGGAGACCTAAACCGAGACCTTCCTTGGTCCGCGTCAGAGAATCGTCCTCTCGCGAGAATGGCTTGAACAACTCCGGTTGGAAATCCTCTGGGATGCCATCACCCGTGTCTTTGCAGTTGATTACCAGAAACTTCTGGCTTTTTGAGAGTCGAGCACGCAGGATTATATATCCCTCCTCTGTAAACTTGATGGCGTTGAGGCAGATGGCTGACACCAACTTAGTCAAGTCCCGTTCATCGGCATAGAGCGTTTCCGGAACATCTGGCGCTACGGACCATTCGATTGTCTTCTGCGAGGTATGGCCATTCGACGATCGTGACCTGACCACTATCCGCTCTCCAAAGTCGATGGGTTCGCCGATAGCAGAATCCGGCCTGCCACCCACCCGCAGAGACTCGTAAATAACCGTCGGTATTAGCTCTCGAATTCTACAGTGCTTTAACCCGGGCGTTGGTAAGTTATCGCTATCCACTGATAACAACTTGGACGAAGGCGTGTCCAGGTCTCCGGGAGTAACGAAATCTGACGTTGGTGTGAAGAGGGTCGGGATGCGGCTGTCTGAGCCGAGTGTTTGTGGTATGGGTATCTGGGGAGGAGGAAATCTGAGCGTGTTGCTTTTCGGTGACACATCAACGCCCTTGGATGGTGCGAGTTGCCGCATCTTGGTGGCATTTCCGAAGTTCCATGATGTGGGACTGCTTCGTCTTCGCTTGTACGTATTGAGATGAATGTCGCTGCCTTCGATCAGGCGGGATGGTTTGTAATCGAAGTAGCCGGTGGATGCAGGAGCTGGCGACTCTTGGTCGTTGGAAGGAGTGTCTGGGATTTGCATATTCATGTCATACGCATGGACAACGTTGTCGGCGGCCTCAACCGCTCGTTTGGCACTGTCCTGAATGGTTTCGATATTGTCTCTCAGACTCTGGAAAGCCCGACGGACAGAGGTATCGGCAACGCTCTCGATCTGTTCCTGCACCGTGGTATGCATGACATCCAACATTCCCACGACGCCCTGCATCGGCGTCCTCAGTTCATGTGACAAGTTCTTGGCGTACGGCTTCAGCGACTGGGTCCCTGGCGTAATCGCGTCACGAGGAATCACATGAGTTGGTCGAGTTCTGACAGCGGTGCGCGTTCGAGACTTGGCGAACCCCTGGCCGGTCAGGAGACGCTCAACGATGACATCTTCCAAGGAATGTAATAGAAGTTCTGTGAAACTCCATGTTGTCTCGCGCCTGTCCAAGCCTTCCTGCGTCCACATCATACCAAAATGGGCGAAGCACTTGCCCTCTGCGAAAAGAGGAATGCCGATATAGCCTTCTGCCGGGAACGGTAGGGCATTTGGATTGTGTGTGATGAAAGAGCTCATGTGTTCGGGAATGAGGAAGACCTTGTCATGCTTCATATAGGAACAAGGAGACCCCCAGGCAAGATAGTTGTAGTCTCGGTGCATGGCCTTTTGCTCGTCCCCGTCGTTGTAGTAGAATGCAACACCCAGCAGGCACGAGCCTGACTCGCCGAAGGGCGGCATCTCTACTGCTGAATGGTGGTCATCGGCCAGTACTCGTTTCGCGACAAAGCCGTACTGGGCATGGCAGATCTCGGTCATGCCCTCCATGAGCTTCTTCCAAAAGGTATCCGAGTCCACCGTCTTCAACTCCCTCTTCAACTGCACCACCTTCTCCAGAGCATTGTTTTCTGCCGAGGGAAAGTGTCTCGCCAGATTCTGAAGAAACCCATCTTCACCATATTGTGTAGGCACCCCGGGTCGAACGCTGGGGAGACACAGCGACTGTCGTTCGATGAGAGGTATGAATGGATCAATCCCAGGAGGTTGTTGAGCCATTACTGCCATGGCCTTTCCTCCCCTCACACACAGCTCTCATATGCTGCATGCAATGACCAGTCTCGTCAACATCCGGGTCGTGCGTGGGTCGCAGGCGTTATTCCGTGTGGATATTGAGAGGCCACAAAGGCCTTCATCGATCGTTGAGGTGTTGGTGGTTCGGTATCGCCAAGCTCGATTTGTCAGGAGGACGGGGTGCAAGGTAGAATTCCAGACCGCAGAGGGGCCAGGTACGGGAACGGCAAGCTAGCGGCAAATGGTCGGAGACAGGTAGAAAATATCGACTGACGGGTCGCTGGCGAGAGGTGACCAGTAAACTAAAGATGTGAATGGAGATGGCAGGAGAAGCGTTTGGTAGCGGGACGCAGCTGGAGCAGAGGACGAGGACAAGGACAAGGAGCCAAGGCAGGATGCAACACCGGGCGGAGGCTGAAGCTGAAGCGTGCGCCAACCCGCCCGAAGATTACGGGGCAGATATGAAGTACTTGTGGTGCGTGCCACCCGCTCAGGCCAAAGACCGTGCGCCGGGACTGCTCTTGATTATGCCCACCTGTACACGGAGTATACTGTGTAGTATCGTATTTTGGTCGAGAAAAACCCGGTGAGGCACCGAAGCCAGACTCCTGACAGTGTGAGGCGCCGAAGACTTCTTCTGACATCTGCCTGCAAGGAGCGTCGATCCATTGCACAAGGCTACAACAATCTATCTTTCCGACTTTTCTTCTTCTCTCTGCCGTGCCTCGTCCGCGCGCAGGAATTTATATCCTTGCAGAATCTCCACGGGGAATTGCTAGAGCCTTCAGCTCAGACCAGTCGCGAACGCGGGCGCAGCCGGCATCCATATGCAGCTCTACGAGATTCTCGTGGATGCTATTTCCCGTGTGGCATCTTGGATACTGCGCGTCCTTCTCTTTCCCATGATTTCGTACGGGGGAACAGGCCTCTGTTGGATCCGAAGTGCTAGCAGCGGCCTCTTTCACTCGTCCACCTCAAAGTCGCATCACTACGCGAAGGCCTAGATGTTGGGCCACGGCAAACTGAAGTTAAAATAACGCACCGCATGTTGCATGACGCGGGTGGCATCCTTCTTCGGAATATGTCCTCGCGGGCGTCAGCATGTTTGATTTATGAGAGCCAAGAGCGTGTCGGTTCGATTCTGAACAGGAGAGCAGTGGAGACATGTCGTTGGACATGCGCAACCGTGGCTGAAATCTAGGCCTGGATCGACCACATCCACCGCGCAGCGACCCTGCATACGCCGCCTTTATTGGGCCACGGGGGCGTCGGGCCCTGGCTGAGTCGCAGTCTGTCGACGGAGCCAGGACAGCAGCCGCCGTACCCCGTACATTCCTGGCGAGGCGCAACCATCACTCGACACTGGTAGCACCACGGGCATGCTGAATCTTCAGAAATCGGCCGTAGAGGTTTCCACATCTGATTTGCTAGAAATTCGTCCAAGCCGTGAGATCGTACTGTGTCCTCCGTACATGATATTCAGAAAGGCGGGATGCTCGGTAGGCGACTTTATGAATCCGGTAAATCTCATGCCCATCAAATGTTCTAGGCTTTCCACCGCCTGCGTTGGAGCCCGATAGCCCTGGACTGCCTTTGACGCCAATGACATCACAAAAGTGCTTCGCTCCGGCTAAATCGGCATTGCTGGCACTGGCTCGCTTCCTGTGTCCTCACCGCCAATGACGAGAGGGGAAAGAGGCATGTCGACATCAAAATTCTCCGGCGGCACTGAACTCTTTTCCGTCGCTCGAGCACCCAGTACGAGGTGCTCGTACAGGGTCAGTGTCGTAGTCCAAGCTTGAGCTCGGGTTCAAGGCCGCGACGCCATCAGTGACGGGTCTTCTGGAATCTGTTTCACATCACTTGGTGCACATACTGAAGAAGCAGTGACCAAGGTGCCAAGTCCAATTCTGCGGCGAAGCACCTATTCATGAGTTCCTGGAATGTGCAATGATTGCGCGATATCAAGCCTGTCACTAATGATAGTCCAATGAAGAATAGGGCGACGAAACAGTTACCGGACACGACTATCAGGTCTGTGCAGGCCAATGGATAGCAGATATACGACTTCAACACGCGGCACATTAACCACCGTCTTGCGTCTGTACCGTGCAGTGCAGAATCTATCGGCAGGGTGGACTCATGCTTGACTCCTGCTGCTATCAAGATTCTCTTCCCCATGCTAACATTCCTGGCTCCACACAATTTCCGTCAGCAACGAGCTCGCTATGTAGATCAATCCTTTCGAAATAGTGTACTCCGTACGGCTTGCTCGATTTGCGGGGGCCGAGGCTTATGTTGACAGCTTCCCGCTTCGGCCTCAGGTTGGCAGAAGCAACCGAGGCAGCGTCTTCGAAATGTCGCGAGGATATAACAGCCATGAGAAATTGGTGGTCGGGGATGCAAGACCACCTCCTGACTAGGTATCGAAATACATCAGGTGTCCAAGGTTCTCTGGCAGGGTGTCAGAAATGAGGTTTGGGCAAGACCCAAAGTGTTCGAAATGAAGACGTACAAATCGAAAGACCCTGACATCGACATCCCGACTGACCTCAACCTTACGGAACTGCTCCTTAGTAGTGCTCGCTCACCAGCACTGCCAGCTGACCACGTCATCGCTCAAGACGATGCCGAGAACCGCACTCTCACCATTAGCCAGCTTCGTTCGAATGCCGGCTGCCTCGCAGCAGGTCTGGCACAGCGATACAGACCAGAAGACGAGAGCCGCTGGGGGATCCTCCTGCCGAACAGCGTCGCCTACCTGGAAGCGGTCCATGCTGTCTTATGGTTAGGCGGCGTGTTCTGTCCGATAAATCATCAGTTGAAGGTGGGAGAGATAGCACATGCGCTCACGGTCTCGAAGCCTGCATTCCTTATTGTATACTCTGAAGTCGTCCAGCAGGTAATGGACGCTGTCAAATTGGCCTGCCAAGGCTGCCCGAGCTTCAAACCCCCGGAATTGTTGACCGCCATCGGACCTCCCGTCGAAGGTTTCCGAAGCCTATGTGCAGATTTCATGGCCTCTAAGCCGTTGCCGGTACCTCACCATACAGACACCAGAAAGAGACTCGCATCAATCCACCTCTCATCGGGAACAACTGGAAACCCAAAAGGGGTGGGTCTCTCGCAATACAATTATGTTGCGAATGTGTTGCAGATGTGGGCGCATGATCCGGAGCACTGGTCTCCGGAAGAGAGAGTCGTGTCCTACACGCCGTTTGTGCACATCGCGAACAGTGAGTTTGAGCCTTGTTGACAGCTGGTCCTATTGAGATCATTGCCATGGAACTTATGGCCATTTCGGACTTTGCTGATGATGATCTGTCAGCGACAATACCGCTCTTCCTCGGACCGTGGACTGGTATGGAGCACATCATCATGGCATCATATGATATTGAGGCGTTGGCGAACACCATTCAACGGACGAAGGCCACAGCGGCACAGATGACCCCGAACGGTGCCTTGACTATCGCAACGACAGATTTGACTGAACGATACGACTTCTCGAGTATCAGGCACATGACCTGCGGAGCTTTCCCCTTGAAGCAGGACGATTACGACAGATTTCTGCGGAAAGGCAATTGGAAGACAGTAACCTTGTACGGGATGACGGAAGCTGCCCCATACGTCGCATGGCAGAAAATTGGAGAGGCGATGCCGCTGGGCAAGAGCGGAACGATTCTGCCAAACATTCTCTGCTCGCTGAGGCTAGAGAATGGTGACGATGCTCCAGAGGGCGGGCCGGGAGAGCTATGGCTCAAAGGGCCCAACATGGCGGCTGGTTACGTCGACAATCCGGAAGCGAACCGAGCTGCTTACGACGAAGCTGGATGGTACAACACTGGCGACGTGTGTACTATTTCCCCGGAGGGTCATCTCCAGGTTGTGGGAAGGACAAAGGAGCTAATCAAATACAATGGCTTCCAGGTTTCGCCCACCGAACTCGAAGCCCACCTCATCTCTCATCCGGCGATTCTGGACGCTGCGGTCGGAGGGACCTGGGACTCGGCGACGATGACCGAATTGCCCACCGCCTACGTCGTGCTCAAAGCGCATCTGAAGGACCGCGGCCAAAGGGTCCAGGCACTGCAAGACATCCAGAGGACCATTAGTAGTCAAGTGTCGGGATACAAGAAGCTGCGTGGAGGCGTATTTGAGGTTACTGCACTTCCTCGCACGCCGACCTTGAAGTTCGTCAGGAAGCAGCTCGGGATCCACAAGACGGGATTGTCATCTTCTGATGGCGGGGAGAGGTCGTCTAAATTGTAGAGAGCCGCAGATGGAATCATGACTGCGAGGAATCATGACTGCGAGGAATCATGACTGCGAGGAATCATGACTGCGAGGAATCATGACTGCGAGGAATCATGACTGCGAGG